GCCTGCGGCGGCGCCGTGAGCGGTCTTTCGGGTCCGTGTGGCCGCTTCTTGCGCTCGAGCCGCAATGCCAACTCCGGGATATACCATCAGCCCTTACTTGCATGCGTTGGGGTGCCTGAACAAGGCACCGCGGCCCTGGTGAATGGACTTATGCCCTGGGATCAACTCGAAATCTGCATCACAGGAGCCGCGGCCCTGCGGGGCGGCCGCGCTCCGGCGCTGCCATGTGCGGCCCTAGCCAGCCAGCCTCTGCACGGGCTGCCGGTGCGGCGGCCTGCAGCACTGCCCAAGGCCTTGGGCTTGCTCTCCCGGGATCACGCGGCCCATTCTGGCAATGCGTGGCCTCTCCTAGCTTCACGGGCCCCTTCTCAGCTTCCTCTCTGCATGAGTCCGCCGCCTCACCCGGCTCCGTGCCCATCCGCGCACTCCCGGGTTCATTCGTTCGACGAGCGCCAAGCTCGCACGGGCCGCCGCCGATCCGCCCGCCATGCTTGCGTGCGCGCCTTGCGCGAGTGGCGTGGCTGTGCAGGTCTGGGGCTGGCCCTGCTTCGGGCATGCATCTGCTTGAGGTGGTGCTGACGGTCAAGTATCAGGCAACTAGGCAAGTGCTAGATGAGCGATTGCATCTGCTCGCTCTGCATCTCTCTTATCAGCGCAGTCCAGCTCCTCTCTTCTTAGCACGGTGCCACCAGCATACCAGTAGTAATATTTTCAACGGTGTGGCAGGCATGATGTGGTGTGAGAGCGGGGACGTGTCCTAATGGCAGGCTCTTCATGCCGCATGGGTGAAGTGGGAGTGGCATGACCCCTGTTGACCGCGCTGCACATCCTGACCTTGTCAGATCGGCGTGTGAGCTGTCCTAAACGCTGGCTCGGTCGATGAGATTTCCAAATAACAGTAATTCGGTGGAGAATCACGGCCGCGTTGTCTCACTGGTCGGGAAAAACCGCCGAGACGTCATCTCCAAACTAGTTTCCCCTTCGAAATCGGCCCACACTCTGTGAATTTTCTGTCACACGTGTCATCATTGATATGCGGTCAAGGGTTGCCTGCTAGCTGCACCACTGCTGACCCAGCCGTCGCTTCGCAGCGCCGCTGCCACCGACGCACGGGCCATGGCGCTCGCCGTCGGTGCGCAGCCAGGCGCCTCGCCCGGGCGCTTCCCGATGTCAGCTGCGGATGAAGCGCTGATGATGATCTCAGACCTGGCCTCCGACGACGCGGCCGCCCGCCACGCGCGAGACAACCGCCATGTGGCGGATATGCAAGCGGTCGCCTCGCCGCCGGCGCGCCGGCCGCGCAGCAGCATCCTCGCCGGGTCGGCAGGCAGCACGCCGCGCAACGTCCTGCTCAGCGTGCTGCGCCGCCGGTCGCCCGCGCCGCCCGCGCAGCTGCTGGCGCCGCCGCCGGGCGTGGAGGAGGGCGCGTGGCGCGACGCGGTCGCGCGGGCGGCAGCGCTGCGGGTGGACCCGCGCGCCTTGGTGGGGCGCGCTACGCTGCTGCTGCAGAGATCTATGGTGCAGCAGCTTCAGAGGCATTATCAGCACACCGCAGAGTGTGCGCGCCTCGAGGCTGCGGGCCCAACGCACCCAGCGGCGGCGGCGGCAGCGACATCCGCAGCAGCAGCCGCGGCCAAGGGCGCGGCGACCACGGACAGCGGCTGCGGCGTCGCCGCGCGGTTGGAGCGCATGTGCAGCCGCGTGGTGCGAGAAATCGACGCGCGGCCGGCGGTCAGGGCGGTTGGCAGGGGCGGCGGCGGGCCGAGCCGGCGGCGCCCGAGAGTGGGTGGGCGCGTCGGTGCAACCACCCCTGGCAGCAGGTTGATGGTTCTGCAAGACAGCTTCAACAGCAGCATGAGGGTCCTGGAAAGGAGCAGCTCGAACGCCAGCGGGAGCGGCGGCGACGCCGACGGCGCGCTGCCGCGGGCCGTCAGCTGGAACCTCCCAGGCGGCGCCCCGTCTGGCTGCACCGCCGCGGGCTGCGGCGCGTGCGGCACGCCCGGCGCCGGCGCCGGCGCAGGGAGCGGGAGCTGCCAGGCGGCGGCGGGGCCTGCCGGCTCGCCTGCACTCGCTGCGGCGCCCTCTTCCTTGTCTCAGGGTTGGCGGTCCCCCGCACCCGGCGCTGCACACGGCATTGACACCAATCAACATAACTTGTCGCCCTTGAAGGTTGCCGCCCAGGCCACAGCAACCCCGGCGCGGTCCTGCGCGGCGACACTGGCTCCCGAGCCAGCCGCCTCGCGCAGCCCGCCCACAGCAGGCGGCGGCGACGACAGCGGCACCCTGAATGCGCAGAGGGCCTGGGGGGGCAGCCGGCGCCTCCGCCAGAGGCTCGAGGGGCTGAGGGGGATGCTGCGGCCGGCCAAGAGCAGCAAGCGGCCGCCTAGCAGGGCCGGCCAAGGCAGCGCGAGCGAAAGCGCCGCCAAGGCTGGCGGCGCGGCCGCGCCGGCGGGCCGCGCTGGCCTGGACCAGCGGATGGGCCGGGACGCGTACAACACGCACGCGCAGGTGGTGTCAGCGGCCACGGCGCGACACGTGAGGCGGTACGCGGCCGCCGCGCGCGACACGCGCGCGTCACTGCTGGCCGCGTCCGCTGCTGAGGCCGGGCTGGGCTGCAGCAGCCGTGAAGGCGGCATGGCAGCGGCGACGGGCTCGCGGCTTGATGGCGAGGGGGCGGCTGGAGATGGTTGGGGGGGCGCCACCCGCGGGCACAGCGCGGGGACGGCAGCGGAGAGCCGTGGGGACGCCGCTTTGCTGACGGTGCAGCAGCTGGTGGCGCTGTTGGTGCAGGCAGACGTGCAGCCGCCAGAAGAGTGAGCAGGCGGCCCGTGCAGGGATCCTGGATTTGAGGGGCGGGTCCTGTTGATGCGGCATCCTTTATGCCCGCGCCCACACCCGGTTCCAGGTTTGCATGCCATCAGTGATGTTCACACCCTCCTTCAACACACACACACGCGCGTGCTCTCTCTCTCTCTCTCTCACTCTCTCTCTCTCTCTCTCTC